AGCAGCTCTGTCACCGTAGCTGGGCAAAACCCCCATGACTCATGGAAGTTAGTGTCAGGAATCAGGGCAACAGGCAGGCTGAAGTGCCCCTAGCTATCCCTGTTTACTGAATGAGCCTGGCTGCTAGCAGGCTAATTGGTCCCACCTGGTCTCAGTTGCTACATGTACTTGCTAATAAGCAACAGCTTGCTCAAGGGCAGCAGGCTGCTCAATGGAAAAGAAGCTTCTCTGTCTAGTCTTGGGATTCTAACTCCTTGTTTTTAGTTTCCCAGTTTCTAACTTTTGATCTTGGTTTCCAAGTCCCTTAGTCCTGCTTCTTTGTTTCCGGTTTCTTATTCTTGGAGCCCTGCTTGTTGGATTCCTGGCTTCATCCTTGTTCCTGGTTCCTGCCCATCTGTTCTTGGTTCCTCCCTGCTGACTCCTTTTTCCAGACTCCAGTCTGGTTTCCAGGATGCCTTGCCAGCTCCTTGATCCCTTGTGCTCCAAACTGTGCTTTGATAGTCACCTCCTGACTTAACTTGGTGACTGCCTGCATCCTGGTCCTATATGCTTACCGCTGCCTGTTCTGGATCTCCCTGACAGGTCACTCCAGTCTGTATCCCTGCCTCCTGTTCCTGAATTCCTCCTAGCTTGTGGCTCTACCCAGGGTGATTGCCTACATCTTGGGCCCACATAGACCTTGTCCTCCCTCTCCTGACTCCCTGATTCTAGTTGGAACCATTGCTTCCCTGACCTTGTTTGTTCCTGATCCCTTGGGTTGTGACCCTTCAGCGTCAAGCCATAATCACTTATGTCCCAGTTTCATCCCTGACAGTTGAATAGCTTCCCATCCAGAACTGTTGAGACTCTCTTCATCCTTTTCTCCAGTGGGATCACCCATGTATTGGTTCCCCTTCCCTGGAGGACTCTGTTCTTGGCTTGTGGCTAGTTTAGTGACCACCCAGGTTCCCTGAGAGTTAGACAGGGCCCTGCCATGTTTTTTCCCAATAATTAGGACACTTGCAAAGGAACCATAAGATACAGGTTCTAGACCCCACTTATTCATAGGGGTTTGAAACAACATTATTTATGACGTATCAGAACAACACGGCCCTCAGGAGGGGGAGATGTAGGACTAGGGGGAAGAGAGCAAGCTAGAAGATGTGCAGCTCAGTGAGATGGCTGCTACCTTGGATGGGAAGAGCCCAGACACTTGCTCCCACTGCTTGTTGCTTTATTCCTCTTCATCCATTTTATCCCATGACTTAAATATAAGGTGCCATGGGTCAACCTCAAGAGTATGCTACAATTTGGGGACTTACTGATGTATGGAGTTGTGTGCCTACATGTCCATACTACTTGTGGGATAGGATTGCTAACTGTGCGTAAGTGCCAAAAATGGGAGTTATGTGGTGGGAAAGTACCATTTGGGTATGTAAAGTGTAACAGAGTTCTGTCTTAAATGTCTATACGACGTTTCTTTTGAGTATAATAGCGTGGGTGAAAACATGGAGGTACTTGTTTGAAACTAATGAGTGTGTAAAGGAGGCTGGGCCATTCATGTGGTAGGGCCAGGATTTCTCAGGTGTCAACTGCAATGTTGGCGTCCTTGGGAAAACACCTTTTGTGATGATTTTGGGACAAAGGTGTTGGGCCTCTCTGTTGAAAAAATGTCTTCAGGAGGTGTAAAGGGGCTGTGAAAATCTGTGCCTGCATCACTGGTTTTGCTTCTGTCTCGTTAAAAAAATTCTGTTCCATCCTCAAGGAGCACAGGCCCCCAGATGTAGTTTGTGAACTCCTGAGGAAGTCGGAAACATGCATTAAAGCAGTTGTTTGCCTCTTGCATGGCATGGTTCTTTCTATGCTGACCCACAAGTTTGCTATACCTAAGCAAGGTTTGCAGATATGGACCACAAAGGACCATTTTGCTTTTGTCTTTTGCCCAATACTCTGTTTCCCCCATGCTTCTTGTTTATACTTACATTGCTAAATATCAGGTCAGAGACCTTATTTTTTTCTGTGTTTTTGAGGTATCTTGCGTAGTGGGGTCCTGTTCCATGACTGGGAACTAATTGCCTTGAGCCAGTTGACTTCATTGGGAGAATTCTTGGTCCCAATATAGTAGCTCGATTCAATGCTCCCCAGAAATGGAAGGAATGAGCTGGGTCTGATATTTGAAACAAGTGTTTCTTTAGTAAAGAAAGGAGAGAAAACAACTTTCCATGCTTACTTCTAGAAATGTGAAACCTACAATAGCTGTCCTACAGAATGGCATAACTGCTCTGAGGCCAGCCTAATCCGTTAATGGTTTGTCTGTTTATGTTGCAAGTGGACTTAGGAAGAGCCCTAAATGCATATTTTACTCTCAAAAATTGGATCCAGTGTTTTAGCTTTTGGAGGCCTGGGGAAAAGTTATGTTTCATATTTAAAAAATAAACACTTCTTTTAAAGCTCTATAAACGCGGAGGCATAGTACCCAATGCACCTTTGCCTCTCGCCGCTTTTCAAAGCTTTAATGTTGCTTGTGTGCCCTGACCTCTGCTAGTGAAAGAAAAAAAAACTCACCCAAAATGTATTTATCTTTCTTTGCTAATTAACAGGAAAATGACACAGAGAAACTTTATATTTTCCTCAGCAAGAACAGCCATAGAGACTTCATTTATGGAAGGTCTGAATGATCCCTATTCATGGCCAGCAACACTGTCTGCACCAATAGATCTTTGTACACATAGCAGAGCACAAGGAGAAATCCCATGTTATATACAGCTAGGGTGAGGAAAAAAAAATCACCATTATTTTATATTTTAGTTTCCTTTTGGTCCCCAATATATTTGCAGTTGTGTGTGAGGGGGGTTGTATGTGTGGATGCATATAATGTGTGTCTATACACTTCATCTATCTATTTAATTTATGTTACACAGACATGTGTAAGTGTGTATATCTGCATATGAACATTGTCCATGCTTGTGTGCATGTTTATGTATTCACATGCAGACATACCTATACATGTGCAAGCATGCACGCGCACACACACACCACATATGAAATTTCATATATGTGTGTGTGTGTGTGTATGTATGTATGTATGTATGTGTGAAAAATACATAGTTTTTATATACTGTTTTACATGCATGGTTACATGCGCCTATATGTTTGTTTATGCATATGTGTCTGTGGGTGTATATGTATGTAGGTATATTAGGCTATATGTGGGCATGAGTAGTATATGTGGATGGAGGAATAGATAGATAGATGGTATATTTGCACCATTCCCAGATTTTACAATGCACTTTATGTGTGTAGAATGTATGTAGTAGATGGTGTATGTATGTAATTTGTATGTCTGCTTCTTATAAGGTTTTCCACTTTACTCATTTAAAGGTAGGTCCTTACATTGTGAGTCACCATCACTGATCTCAACTGAAATTATTACTGAAATATGATACTACTCTGCTTGAATCAGGGGAGCAGTGTCAGAGCCTCAGCAACAGAGCAAGTTGAAAAGGAGCAGGAAAAAAGATGGAATTTGCTGTATTTATTTCTATATTTGTTTTCAAAGCAGCTATAGAGCTGTGTGAAAGCTGGAGGGGACAAAAGCCATTTATTTTTAATAGGAATCACAATGATTTTGAAATGTGTGGACCACATTACCCTGGCTGGATTGTACTTCCCTTATTCACTTGTGTAGTATCTTACTCTTTGTAATGCCCTATGGACATCAATGAGAGTTGAGGTAGGAAGCTGTTCAGAATAAGGTTGGCAGAAATGTCTTAGAACAGACAGTAGTTTCCAGTGGTTCTGGGACAAAGTTATGCAGGTGAGGGAGTGAGAGCTTAAAGCTGGGGTTAGGTGGCTGGACAGGTGAGTTTATAGATGATGTACATCTTGATAGTATTGATCAGTCATCCCCAGAGGGTTTGCTTTTGCTGTTACCAGTATTACAGTATTTCATTGCTTAGGGATAAATGCATCATTAATTCTTATCATCACTGGAGCATCCTAAATGAATATCTGCTATCTGTTCACTCAGTACAGCATGAGTCTTTTTTGTCTACTTTAGGTGGTTGTGGCTGAAGGCTGTCTTCTTTTATGATTGTACGCTCTGAAAAAAGAAATCAGGCTTGCACTCTTCTTGTCTGCCCGTCTTGATTTACTTAGGGTTTTTTATTTGTTTTTTTTTTTATTTTGATTTAGGTGTTGATGTGTCCATCCTGTGCTGCTGATATTCTGTGCTATTGATTTAACTCTCACTCTTTCTCTTCCATAGTCTTCCAAAGGGTACTGTAGTAGGTATAACTACTGCACTAATTCATTCACTACCAGATTCCTTTAACTGCATCTCACTAAACCTTGCTTCCCCTCTAGTTGTTTCTCTCTACTCCTCCCTGAGCAGTCTGTTATTTTTGCCTGGAAGTGATTAAAATATAACAACCCTTCCCGATACACCAAGCTTGGTTTTCCTAAACGGCGAGGTTTCTGTTTCATGTACCTAGGTGTCTCCAGGATGATTTGTATGACCCTGATCACATCCCCACCCCTCCTCACCTCTATCCCTCCCCCACCAGTTTTCAGGCTCAGGAAGGCCAGTAGTCCGATACACCATGGCCCATTTACTTACTGTGCAAACACCAGGTTTGCAGATTAAAGCCAGTGATTGACAGGTTAACCCTTTTCCCCAGGCTGGTTTCACTGGTCCCACTGTTCAGGTCTCAGATTCTCCACATTCCAGGCAGTCGCTGGTCCCTTTATTACTTCCCATCTTCTTAGCCAAGCAATGAACCCATTGTAGAGAGTCTGGGGGTTGGGCAGGGATCGGAGACCCTTCATGTGGATAGCCATCTCCCCCCACACACACTTCCACTGAAAGTTTTCTTCTTCTTCTCCTTCTTTCCCCTGCCATCCACTGCCCCCCGGGTACTTCACACGTGTCAGAGGTTGGCCTGGTGCCTCTATGGGGAGTGGCATGTTAATACCTCTGGGCCAGTGCTTCTGCCTGCCATTCTGCACTCTGCCTCCAGCTTCTGAGCTACCATGGACAGGATTTTCTCCGGCTTCTTGCTCTCTGTGCTACTTCTCTTCCAGAACTACGGAGTTTATGGGGCTCCACCTCAGCCAAGAGGTAAGCAAAACTGTCCATTCATTCGCAGTCCCACCTGGCATACCCAAGTCAGCGTGCACCAGGAAAATGTGAATGCAACTGGGGGAAAGGAAAGAGAAAGAAAACAAGCAGGTTGTGGGACTTTATAAAGAACCTTTTTCAGCTCTCTTACAGAGGCATCCAAGTCCTTAGGTTTGTACTGCTTTCTCATGCTTGTTTCAAACAGAGGGCTGGTTCAGTTCATTTTTAATATACCCTTTAGTATAGCATCAGCAACTGGTCCAGTGCTGGGAGAGATAGAGTTATTAAATTAAAGCAGCTTCCCCATGCCCCCTAAAGAGAATTTTCTTGTACTTTCAAGATGTTCCTCAAAGGGCTTCTTTTGCTTGACAATTAAAAGAGAAAAATGGAGTCCCTAGCTATAGTTACCAGTCTGAGTAGAGAAGAAAGGCCTAGTCCCTGCGGTTTCGTTCTAGTGAAGGTTCTACTCAATCTCCACTTGAATAAAATTGCCATTAAATTCTTCTCTACTTTTATTTTATTTAAGTGAATAGATTTTGCCTGAACAAGAATAATGGAATTTAGCTCAGCACTGCTGGAGGCAAGCTTCCCAAGGAGTAACCATTTTTCTTTAGGGATGCCTGGTGTATAGTTTTGATGTCTGTAAAGCTCCATTCCCAATTAGAACCAGCAAATTCAGAATAGAAAATGGAAGAAAAATGCTGACCCTGAGAAGATTTATAGCATGGTAAGGAAAGCAGGCCCTTAACTCTTCTGGTAGGGACAGCATGATGCCATTGGCAATAGTGCGTATCCAACTTGTGAAACTCACTGTAGGAAGAGTTGCTGAAGAGAGATTTTGTTCCTGGGTCTCTTTTTCTGTACCCATCTGTAATGCTTCTTTGTACAGTTCATGGTAACAACAAATGTAATGTGGCTGCATGCTTCAGGGCATATACTTCCTTAGAGAATGGAAATTTTACCCCAGACTGCCTGGTTGCTTGGGCATGCCTTGTGACAAATACTAGATAGTGCTACAGGTGGGAGAATAGATTATGTGGACTAAGCAGGAAACTAGACTGGTTGTCCAAACCACTAAAGTCTTAGTGTAACCAAGTGCTGTTTCCATTATTGAAATCCTTTAATTTTGACTTACTAATAACTTTTCTACTTTTGATTCATGCAGAAACATATTTCTATGTTCCTATTCCATTCCTGGTTTAGCTTAATCCAGGTAGAATAAACTAATTTGGAAAAAAAAGTCATTCTAAATTTGGAATTAAAATATCCATACATGTTGCTACTCAGTTGCAGCTCATTCCTGAATGGCTGTTCCTATAGAAATCCATTTCCAAACAAGGGCTAAGGCTTGGTAGGCATCTATATATAAGTATAGGTAACACATTCAAAGTTCATGAGAAGAGATACACAATGTTATATTGGGCCACAACCTAGAAGTTATATTGCAAAAACTTTTATTGGCTTGAGCAGTCCTTAGATCAGATTTGAATGCATTGGCACCATATTTCCTTATGTCTACTAGCTGCTGATAAAATAGACCCCAGTAGATGGGTCACTGAAAAAGGACTTGGGCAACCTAACTTGCATTCTTTGCTCCAGCGTCAGTTAAAGACTTCATAATCTGGGGCATCTCTGTTTCTGTTTCCCTGCCTGTAAAATAGATATAATGAAAACTTTATAAAGTGCTTTACAATCAAGGTATTAAACTCCTATGTACACTTGACTCTGTGCTGAGATTTTTCACTGTCATTAAAGAATGATGGCACTGAGCTGAAACCAACCCATTAAGATAAGCAGATATGTTTTAGCGGCAAACACATTGTATAATAGACTAATTGCATCCTGAATCACTTTTCTACACACTGTTTTGTTTAGCGATACTGTACATTTTTTGGAAGTCAGAGGTATATTCAGCCCTAGATTCTCTCAGGAAATTAAGCTTATGGCATTTCTTCATAGACATGTGAAAGGATAGTTCTTTTCATCTACCTAAGGGACTGAAAGTTCAGTTGGATTTTAGGGATGGCTAACTAATATTAAAGCTTTAATTTCAAACTTGCCGGCCAAAACATTTACAGCTACAAAACTATCCACAGACCTTCCCCCCACCCCGCATTTTACAAACTCTATAATTTCCTTCCGTGTGAAAATCAAATATTAACAGAGCATTTGCTAAAATCAGAGCAGCAGGGAAAGTAGTTGGAAAAAAAATAAAACAACAGCATATAGTACCGCTTGCTGAAAAATAGGAGCGTTTATTTTAAAAGTCATAAAAATACGGATGCTTTCTAGTCTTTGCCTCAAAAATGTGATTGAAGCCTGTCATCTAAACTGTTGTTTTTGCAAATCTTGTCATTTTTCTCAACAATATTTTTCTGTACATTTATTTTTGGTAACAGCCGTGATCTTACAATGGAATCACGGGAGTTAAATGGAAGATATGTAGTCTTAGAACGGTCACTTTTACACTCCGCAGCTCTCTTCCATTTGGCAGCATTGTTCTATACTGGGAACTCTCTAGTACTTCATTGCTATTATCTATGTTATAACAAAAAGATTGAATTTTGGTGGTTTGAACAAGAGTAGTGGAGTCAGGACTCCTGGGTTCTGTGCTCCCTTTTACTGAAACAACATATAGTTTTCAGGAAATTAATTAATAGCTGTGAGCTTTGGTTATACATCTCCAAGATGGGCAGTGCCTATTAGACAGAGGTGCTGTGAGAATTGATTATTTTGGGGGAAGCTTCTGAAGGTCATCTGATACAAGTGTGCATGCTATTCATTTGGTTCACTGCTGCTTTAGTTAGTTTTTACACTAATGTGACTTATGTAGAGTAACACCATGGAGCATCCAGTTCTACAAATGCAAACATTTACTATCCCGCCCTCTCTGTGGAATATCAGTACATTTTGTCAACCAATAAAAATACTTTCTTTATACCTTACGTTGAAATTAAACAATGAACATTTATAAGAGTTTTTGAATTAAGTCACTGTGTCCCTTTGAGGCAGGCAAATATTATCGTCCTGATTTGACAGATGGGGAAAGTGAGGCACAGGGAAGTTCAGTATCTTCCTGCATGACAAGTCATGAACACAACCGAGTCATCCCAAGTCTCGGTCTCTTACGCTGGCCACTAGGGTCCACTCCCTGAGTGCTCCAACAATCCATAAATAGAGTCCATAAATCCCTATTTCAAGACATTAGACCCCGCTTCTTGCCTTTCCGCAAGAGCCATAAATACAACTCAAGCATCCTGACTCCCCATTGTCTTCTATAATCCATAGTAATCTGCTCCCTTCTTCCTTTTAAGACCCTGGAATAGAATTCATCAGTACTGAACCAACACCCTGCCTCTCTAATCCCACAATGCATCTCTGTTTTTGATAGACTCATTGTCCTTGTCTTTTCTTCATCTTTCTCTTCCCTCTTTTCTTTTGCAGGCACCCTGTGTAGGACAAGACCCACAGACCTGGTGTTCATCATAGACAGCTCTCGAAGTGTGCGCCCCAATGAATTTGAGCAAGTCAAAGTCTTCATGTCTCAAGTAATTGAGGCCCTGGATGTTGGTCTCAATGCCACTCGGGTGGGTGTAATCAATTATGCCAGTGCGGTCAAGAGCGAGTTCTCCCTCAAGACCTACCAGACCAAAGCCAGCCTGTTGCAAGCAGTCCGCAAGATCGAGCCTCTCTCCACGGGAACCATGACTGGCTTGGCTATCCAGTATGCTATAAATAGGGCATTTAGTGACTCAGAAGGGGCCAGAGTGCGGTCTCCTGGTATTAATAAGGTAAGTGCACTAAATGCTCATCTCCAATGATAGAAGGATTCAACGAAATTGTCCCTACCGTACCCTGTTCTCCTGTGTAATTTCACGCTATACCTTTGAAAATGGCTTCCAAGAAGTGTTGCAATTAAAGTTGCCCACTCAAAAGTCATCCCACCCCTTTCCTCCATATCCCATGCATAGCCTATCTAGACTGTCAACAGTGTAGTCACCTTGGGGCAGGGATCATCTCTTGCTGTGCATATGTCAGGGGCTTGTTGTATTGAGACTCTAAATACTCCCAGGGTCAGAGAGCACTTCCATATTGGTAACAGCAACAACTTGCACTTCCCCCGCCCTCTTCCCGTGTTGTGCTAGAAGTGATTCAAAACCGGCCCCTGCAAAATAGGGCTACTTCTGAATGCAGATATAAAGTGAAGCACGAGTAAACTTCCCTCGGTTGTTTTTCTCTGGCCCAGAGAGCACATAACTGCTCATTTCTCCTACCTCATGGTAATTCCTTAGTTCCTGCTATTCTGAAGTGTTCAAATCAACAATCCCTTTGTGCTTAATGAGCTTGCAAGCAGTCTGCTTTATTCTGTGTCCGTTTTTTTAAGGCTGTGCATAAGAACAACAGAGTGGTCCAGCACCCCACCCAGCCTGTTCACCTGGGTCCCCTGAATTATCCTGATACACCACACATTACTTCTGTATTCAGCTGAGTGTTGCCAGACCTCAGCTCGATAGGAATCAGCAGGGAAATGCTCCCTTCAGTTTGTGCAGAAAGCTTGTTGTATTAATAGCTTGTGTTATCACTGACCATAGATGATGGCACTTCCTAGGCCCTTGTGCCCAAAGCTGGCTGCTTTGCCTCTCTCTAGCAAGATGGGAGCAGAAAAATAAGCAAAGGCTTAATGCAAGCAACAGATGCTTCCCTCCCAACTGGGCAGGGAACCAGCTGCTTGAAGGGGAAGGTTTTGATTTTTTTTCTCAACTGTAATTTTTTTGGAACATCACACCTTTTCCTTTTCCTTCAACTGCTAGCAAAGGAATAGGTAAGCCACAGCTGTGAACCTGGGTACAAAATGACGGGACCGAGTCAGCCGCAAACAACAAAAAGTTGAGAGAGACCTAAAATACATAGTGATAAATATGGGAATTGAGACACTAAGACATTAAAGTCAGGATTTTCAAAAGCATTCAATATTTAGATCTAATTCCCCTCCTGCTGAAGTTAATGGGGAAAAATAATTCTGATGTAAATGGGAGGAGAATGAGGCCCACACTGAACAATTTTGGAAATATCACCCTAAATACCTGAACCTAGATCTTCTGAATCTCAGTATGGAGTCATAATTACAAGGCCACCCTTTTTTTTCTGCATGCTCTGCAGCTGAGGGTAGCTATGTATAAAATGGTTTAAAATAAAATAAGTGTTTTCTCCCTTGCAGTCGTGGTGTGAGACCTAATTGTAAGGGACTGGTGCTTGAAGTAGTGAGATTTGCTTCTTTGGCAAGGTACTTTGAGATCTGTGTGTGAAAAGTACACCATAACCCCTAGGGGTTATGGTTATAACAATTGTGATTTAAGTGTTGTATGTTTGGCAAGCCAAGGCTGAAAGGCTAATTATATCATTATTTTGACCAGGCTAGTTCAAACACATTAAGAATAGCCCTGGCTCTCACTGGAACTGGTTTTCTGGAGGTTCAAAGGGGTTCACATTGTTAAGAAGGCATATTTGATTTCTCTCTGCTTTCACATATTACTCTTGGAAGCGGAATGGTATAAAAGCTCCCAGAGAGGCTGAGCAGGGAAGTATATCTATCTGTCTTAGAAACGAGAAACCTCTCTATCATATTTATAGAGCACCAGCAACTGAAGCATGGCAGTGAGGTGGTGATTCAATATCTGCAGCCTGGTGCTTTAGACCCAAAGGTCTTCTCAAACTCTATTGAGTTTATTCAGAACCAAACCTCCCCTGTGCCATTTGGAGTCTGTCCATTGCTCAGCAATAAAGTCTACATGTGCTGCTACCCTGAGTGCAACCTGCCTCAGCCTGCCTGGCATTGCTACTATCAAAAGATCGGGCAAAAGGGTTCTCTCTGTATTAGTGCTGACATAGCCTTACAACTTACAGCACCGTTGCTTGAAGGCTGCTTTCGAACTCAGGGCCTGGGTTACAGTGCTTCAAAGCTCCAGAGCTTGATCCATGAAGCTGAACAGCACAAGTGGATTGGCAATGCTCTGATAGACCTCGTGGCTTTGGACAAAACTTTTTCTAAGGCAGGTTCAAGCCTCCCTTGTTTCCCCAAAGCTGACCTGCTGCTGACCCCCTAAAGAGCACTTTCAGATCTTGAATGAGAGACTTTTTCTGCAATCAGCCCTTTCCAAGGAGAGTGGCAGCAATAGGAGCAGGGGGCAAAAGGGAAGGTAAGAGAACACTTTTGTCCATTTGCTAGCAAGTCTGTGCAGCCTGGATGAAGCAAGCTGGATTGTGGCAAGCTGATCAGATAAAGACAAAGGCATGGTCTTTTCGTGTAGTCACCCAGTTCTCCAGCAAATAGTTTTCATTTCATTAAGAGAGAGCTGGACATATTCCAAACTATTGGGTAGTTTTGTGCTCAGTGTAATATGATTTTTCTGTATTACTCAGTAGAGAACATTATGCTATATTGTCTAACACCAGCCTTTGGGAAGAAAAAAACCACAGATCTTTGCATTCCTGCTAATTTGCTTGTACTGGATGGTAAACTGTTTAATGTCAGCTGACTCCAAGCCAAAACCAAGACTACCCCGACCTTAGTCAATGAGCTCCAATACACTGATGATGCAGTAGTGTGTGCTCACTCAGAAGCAGACCTTCAGGCAATTGTCACCGTCTTCACTGAGGCCTACAAGAAAATGGGATTGACACAAAATTCAGAAGACTAAGGCCCTCCATCAACAAACTCTTAATGAGCAATCTCCAGTCTGCTCATTCAGATGTACGCGGAGACTGGAGAACGTTATTTGCCATACCTCAGAAGCCATCTCTTGCAGAAGACTATCATCGAGGAAGAAATCCAACACCATCTTAAATGTGTAATTACAGCCTTCAGACACCTGAGGAAACAGGTGTTTGAAGACCAAGACATTGGATTCATGGTTTGTCAGGCTGCTGTGATCCCTACCTTACTGTATGGAGCTGAGATATGGACAATGTACAGGGGATCTCTCAAGTCACTGGAACAGTACCAACAATGCTGCCTGCAGAAGATCCTTCAAATCCAGTGGGAAGACAGACATAACAATGTTGGCATCCTTTCGCAAGCAAACACCACAAACATCAAGGTGATGATCACCCAACATCAACTTTGCTAGGCTGTCCATATCCGGATGTCCGCCTCCAGGCTCCCAAAGCAAGTTTTATTCTCTCAGTTCAGCCAAGGTGTATGATGAAGAAGAGGGCAGAGAAAGCTCTTCAAGGACGTCCTCAAAGCCAACTTGAAAAAAATGCAACATCAACATCAACTCATGGGAAACTATCACTCAGGCTCACCCCAAATGGAGGAAGTGTCTGCTGGAAGAATTTCAGTACTTTGAAATGTCACGATAACTACAGAAGATGAAAAAGTGAGAGCAGCAGAAACAGCAAGATGTGGACCAAACCAAGAATCCAGAGCCACCCACCCCACATAGAAACATATGCCCAGGTTGCAGTAGAACCTGCTGATCCCAGATTGGCCTTGTCAGCCATCTTCAAACTTATAGATAAGGCAATCATGAAAGACAATCATCCTCAACTGCAAGGGTTTGCTGCTGCTGATTACTGAGTAAGTACCAGTAATGATAAAAAGCATCAACATGCAACTGTATTTGTATCTGGTCTTGGGAACAGCCATTGCAAAAGCCCAGAAAAAAGCAATGGAAGCCAGATTTGTTTTTGTGTGAATCAGAGATGCAGCTGTTCAGTGTATCTGTTATTCTAAGGAGGAGTTTGGAGCAATGTTTGTGGCTGGGAAGAAGATAGGGGCTGTCGATATATATTTCCCTTTAATGATAGTGATATTTTCCCTCTATATTCTGACAAATTCTGAATAAATGATGCATCTGATTTAGAGAAACATTTGTATCTAATGCTTATTCAAAGAGAAATTGCTTTATTATTCACTGGAGAATGTTTATTTAATTTGAAACACTTCTGTTTTTTTAACAAACCCACCTCCCAAAAAAAACCCAACCCAAAAGCTTTCATTGAAATTTCAGGGGGGAAAGATCAAATTTGGGTTGTTCAAAAAAATCATTTTGAATGAATTCTTTGCTCAGTGAATAGCACGATCTTCCCCACCCTAAAGGTTTTGATAAAAATGTGAGCTGCTGGGGAAAATAAGTAATTTTTTGTATTTCAGAATCTAAAATGTGTTTGGTTTAGTTTATTTTTTGAAAACACGCAAAACATGCTGGGAAACCTTCTTTTTAATATCTGCTATTTAAAAACAACCACATACAAAATGAACATTTCTCACTCCATTTCAGCTGGTTCTGGAGCCAGTTCTTATTCAGTCCAGCCTAAGGTACCTTGATTAATGGGCAAAAGGGCCACAGATTCCCTAGATGTGAACAATCCAGCTGGGTTTGTCCTATTTCAGAGCCTTTCACTGATAATTGGGATTCTGCACTGGAACCAAATGATCACAGCGCCTTGAAGATGGAAGGGACTCTGAGGGCCATCTCATCCAGCTGCCTGCTCAGATGCAGAATGTGCTGTTCCTGAACCATCCCAGAGGGATGTCTATCTAGCCTCCTCTTGAACAGGTGGTTAGATCCTGGTTCTTAACCTCATTAGATTCAAGGCACTTCTTGGAAAATGCCAGCTCTTACCTCACTGATTTTTTGGCTATGGAAAAAAAAGCAGAGAAATTCGTGCATTACAAAGAACTCAAGAAGACCACAACAGAGCAGAATGGTTTCAACACCATGGGTTTCTATTTGAAATGTCTGGGTCTATCTTGTGAATTTTGTGTAGATGCTTGGGCCCCTAAGAG